TATATCGATGAATATTCGATATTCATCGAATATTCATTCGATGAATATCGAATGAATATTCGATATTCATTCGAATATCGAATATTCATCGATATATTCGATGAATATATCGAATATATAGCCACTAAGCTAACACTATAGCTTAGTGGCTATAGTGTTATAGCCACTAAGCATATTTAAATATGCTGAACTATGTATTAAAAACATACTTAAAAAAATACAATTGTTTATAAATGTTGCTTTAATAGATGTTTGAATATGGTTTCCAGTAATAAAAAAGCGTGTTGTGATCGATTAAATGCGCTGATACGTCATTGTGCCTGTTAAACAAAATGAGTGGAGTGGTGTACCGCTCCAAGATGGCCGCCCTAAATCTCGTCAGTGACAATAGGCGAGAGCGGTCCATGAGGCGTCTATAAGCATAGACGCCTCTATATTATGTCTGTGCTGAACACTGTCACTGTCAAAGCGCTAAGCAGGAACGAACCATTTCATGCAGACCCAGGGGGGTTGTTCAGTGTAAATAATGGATGTGTGCGTTTTGGTCTGGGAGTGGTAACATTTATTTTTTACTGATAAAAACAATTAAAAAAACATGAAAATTTTTTTGTAATTGACAGGGCCCCATTCTTTTCTATTTCTATGAAGAAAAAAAACAAACAAAAAAACTATTTTGTGGAGGGCCCCCTGTCGGTCAGGGGCCTTCCATAGTCCTAACTTTTCCCCCCGCCCCTGCACCAAATACCACCTATAATCCATCAGAGTTCCCAAGCACCAACAGACCAGCTGTTCAAAGTAGAGGTGATTTTAAGTTAGCAGAAGTCATGGCTATTTAGTTTATGTACAGCTAAACACAATTTATCATGTTATTTTAGGTTTGCAATAATTAATTTGCACAACAGTCAGTAATTTTGGTGCTGGGCCCTTTGATATGGGCTGTTAGGATCCTGCAAGACTGGTGTCAGAATCTGTTCCGCATTGCCGGCATGCAGGCAGTAAGTCAGGTTCGTTTCTGGTCCAGTGTGTTGTGGTGGCACAGTTTGGTTCAATGATTCAAGAATTTTTTATTGTCATACCGCCTTTGCTTGTTTGTAGTACGAAATTTGAACTCGGGTCAGAGATTACGAAATTTAATACATAAATAAAAAATTATGTATAGGTATTTAAAAAAGTGTGTGTGTAAATAATTTACAAGATGAAGTTGAATTAGATGATTGAGTTCAGGAGTCTGAAGGGGAGAGAAACTGTTCCTCAGCCTTTTAAGGGCTAACGTTACAGTAATGTAGTTTAATAACTTTAGCTAACATTAACACTGCGGTAAAACTAGCCGGCTCTTCGAACAGCTGGATTGGTCAAGATATTCATGTGCGCGACAGCTCAAGACATTATGGTACATCCATTTACATGCTGCTTTCACAATAAAAGCGCACATCCGGTCCATGTTTGATATACTCCAAATAGATTTCCAGCCGCTGCAGTTGCAAAAAGAAATAATGTATCAGAAATCATTGGGGACATTATGCAATCCTGAAAAACTTTCTGTTTCCAGCGATTCCGCTCACTTCTGGGCGGAAGAGGGACACCTTTGGAACAAAACCAGCAAATGTCAACCCGATCTGATGTTTAATTTCAAAATAAAAGCCTATTAAAAAAGCATGTTTTTACTCCCCCCCCCCCAATTTGCCGTGCTTATTGCTTGAAAACTCTCTGTTTCCAGTGACTTCTCTCACTTCTGGATGACAGAGGGACATCTCTGGAAAACAGCAGCAAACGTCAACCAGATCTGATGTATAATTTCAAAATAAAAGCATTTTAAAATAAGACGCTTTTACTTTTGTATTCAAAAATAAGTAGAAAATGTAGTGAAGAACTGCCTCACTCGCACCTAGGTGTCTCTAAACATATAAATCTAAAAACTCTCACTACATACATATTATTATTATTAATTATTATTATTATTATTATTTTGGGTTTAATCATCATCTTATCAATCATCTTATTTACGTACATACAAATTTTTCTCTGTTACATATAGATAGATAGATAAAAAGAGAGAGAGATGTATGTAGCAGAGGAAATTTTGTATGTACGTATATATAAATAAGATGATTGAGTTAAACCCAAAATAATAATAATTATTATTATTTAGTGAGATTTTTTAGATGTAAATGTCATCATCGTCACAGAGCTAGTCTGTGATGTAGTGAGCCAGATATTTAGTGTTTGAACAAACATTTAACTTTTACCCCGACAGAAAAAAATCAGGGGAACAAAGTTGTTTGTCTGCTTTAGTCCTACATATTAGCACAACTGTTTGCTTAGCATTTTACTGCACATCATATCTCAACCCATAATCAGAGAAGATATTCAATAGCCGCTGAAAACCAGCACTGCTGGGTGAGAGGACAGCCAGGTCATCAGCATACATAAAGTGATTGACCAGAGTATCACCAATCATGCATCCAGTTTTACAGAAGTTCATTTCTTTTGACAGGTCATCCATGTACAAGTTAAACAGGGCAGGTGAAAGACGGACACCGTTACTCACACCAAAAGAAGCAGAGATGTTGTTACCCCATTTTACATGCATTTTCTGGTTTGAATACCAGTAAACTAAAATTAGTATAATATCTGGAGCACCTCTCTGTTTTATTTTATCAAATAACTTGTAGTGATTGACCTGATCAAAGGCCCTAGAAGCGTCAATAAACCCAAATAACAGATTATTTTTTTCTTAGATATGCTTTTGCTGCCTCTTTCAGGCTATAAATACAGAAATCAGCTCCCAACTTGGCTTTGAAACCAAATTGATCTGTTGTACTAATAAACTGATTAAGACAATCAAGCAAGATTTTTTCTAACACTTTAGATATCACCCTAGCTAAAGCTATTGGTCTGTAGTAATCAAGGCAATAGTCACCACTAATTATATATTTTCCAGGAATGGTCGATATGGTAAAAAAGAAATTCCTATGAAAGGAGTGGTTGTCCTGATTAGCTCCATAAATGTTGACCAATGTGATCTGGGCTTCTATTGTTCCCTGCAACATAGTATATTGAAGCTGAACGCTTTGTTATACTTAAAATCTGTAAATAATCAACAATCCTGGGTTGTATTAATGATCTGTATGTCAGAGCAAAAACCCTAAAAACAATATTTGAACTATACTAATTACAATCACTGGAAAAAGGCTTTCATGAAAATTTTTTCTCCAGCTCTCTGTCTGTGAGACATGGAAGTCTTTGTTGAATGAAATATTTCCTGTACTGCTGATGAAATTGATCAGTATATATGAATGTAACCTTGTCATTTTATTGAAGAGAGTTCGTGTGTCAGAACTGTATAATGTACTGCATTGAAATATTGTACATTGGATTTTTTGTTGTTGTTAAATGTCTGAAATCATCCTTTCGCTCTTATCTCTTATGTGATGTGAAACAAAACATTCTAAGGCTAACCTTTCTGTGTTTTAGAACAGAGAAACCAGTTGCTGTTAAAATTCTGAAGAATGATGATAACAACCCGTCGGTGCGTGAAGAAATGTTGCGAGAGGCAAATGTCATGCAGCAGCTGGACAATCCTTACATTGTTCGAATGATTGGTATCTGTGAGGCAGAAAACCTCATGCTTGTCATGGAACTGGCTGAACTGGGACCACTGAACAAGTTCCTCCAGAAAAACAAGTATGTAATTTCCGCATAGTGGGACAATAAAGGATATTTCTATTCTATTGTATTCTACAAAGGAATGGTTCACAAATAAACGTATAAACGTGTTAGAATGGCCAAGTCAAAGTCCAGACCTGAATCCAATCGAGAATCTGTGGAAAGAGCTGAAAACTGCTGTTCACAAGCGCTCTTCATCCAACCTGACTGAGCTCCAGCTGTTTGCAAGGAAGAATGAGCAAGAATCTCTTGATGTGCAAAACTGATAGACACACCCCAAGTGACTTGCAGCTGTAATCGCAGCAAAAGGCGGCGCTACAAAGTATTAACACAAGGCGGCCGAATACTTTCACTGTGGGTAAATACACTTAAATTTAAACAAATCTTTGATTTGTTTTGCTTTTTCTAGCAAATGTTCAGAAGGTGAACATTCAATTCCTTGTGTTCATTTCTATAGTTAAAACAAATCTCAGAAAATAAACAGTAACTGAGAGTTTGACATTTTAAAAACTGCAAGAGCTCAGTTTTATTGTGTTCCTAAAGTCATATTAGATTCCTAAATAATAGTATAAATCTGTTTGTATTGTAGCAACAGCTGATGAAACTTTTAGCTTCAGAATACTCAGCATTGATTAATATATGACTATACATCTTCTAGGTGTAAATATAGAGGTCTTTTACAGATACTGGATGAAATGTCATATTACTATATTCTCATTCAAATTGTCTGGATGGTCCAAACCAGTTTATGATTTTACCTGAAGCTTTCTTTTAACCCTAAATTAACTTTCAGTACTTCAGATCCAAGCTGAACATTTTTCTGCTTAAATTTCAGAAACACATCAGTAAAGAACATCACAGAGCTGGTTCATCAGGTGTCTATGGGGATGAAATACCTAGAAGAGCATAACTTCGTTCATAGAGATCTTGCTGCCAGGAATGTACTGCTGGTCACACAGCACTATGCAAAAATCAGTGATTTTGGACTCTCGAAAGCTGTTGCAGAAGAGCAAAACTACTACAAGGTAATGTCAAGACTCTAGGATGTTGAGTTTTTTTGGATGCATCTCTCTTTCTCTTTCTGTGTGTGTGTGTGTGTTCTTGTGTGTGCGTGTTCTTGTGTGTGTATTTAGAACTGCCTTGTTTCCCACATTCTATATATTTTGAAGGCCATTTCTCCCATTTCTTCATTTCAACTTCAGTTACTTCCTTTCCCTCATAGCTGAGCCTTGTTTATAATTACTCCTTGTTCACCACCCAACTCTCCTGCATGAACATCAGTCAGACAGCTCAGGTTACCCTTTTTTAGAAATTCAACAACCAATGTTCAATTTTCTAACAAAATTGAATGTACAGATTTAAAACTAGGGGACTAAGAGTTACTTTTATATGGATTCCCTCACATGTAGGAATAAAATATTCCAAACAAGCAAATAAATACAGTATTCACAGCGCTTCACTTTTTCCAATTTTTTTTTATTCCAAAATTTGTTAAACTAAACACTTTCCTCAAAATTCAGGGTTTCCCCCAGAAAACTTTCTAAGCCTGGTGGTCGGACCGCTGAGGCGGTCCACCGTGTTTTTGTATTAAAAGATGTTAAGTAGACTGGAAATATAAAAATATTACTAATTATATGTTATGGGAAAACATCGCCAGTGAAACGCTATTTAAACCCACAACTAGTCTTAAAAACAACAAATCAACAAATAAAATTAAAATGAATATTAATTATTTGCACTTATTTAATCCAAATTATGTCAGCGGCTTCATAAGGCCCCAGGGCTTCAAGAGCCCATAATGCTAATATTTTAACACAGACCACAGTTATATAAATGTAACATTTGTTTGAGATTATCAATGCTGTTAAATTTGATTTAATGATTTCATCATACAAAAATTAAAAGACTTTAAACTGATTAATATTTACATGTAAGATTTAAAGGAGCTGGCAAGTTTACTTTGTAGAAGTTGAAAGAACAATATTCATAATTAGATTGTTTTGTTACAATTTGATGCTGTGAGTTTAATCTTTGAGTTTGAGCTCTGTTTGTTCACCTATACAAATGAATAAACTGCAATTATAACTTATTGCTTTTTAGGTTGGCCAGTTAAACTCCCCCCTTCTCCCAGATTAAATCTAACACAGAAGCTGTTAGAGATGCTGATGGTTTTAGCATGAAGAGTGGCCCCTAAGTCAAACTCTGCTCAAGGCCTCATACAGCCTTGGACCGGCCCTGCATGATGAGTTAAATCCACTGCACTGCACGCAGAGATGCACAACAAATGGGGGATTTAATGTATTGCTGCTAATGTGGTTTCAGTAGCTCTTCCATTTCGTGTCTGTTGAGTTTTTAATAAGGGCCACAGAAACTGTTTTGGTTTGTTCGAGTTTTAAGGGACGTGTTTTTCAGATCTTGGTGCCACTGTGTCATGATGTTGGTAGTGGAGAGGTGGACCCAAATGCAGAGAGGCAGAGGTTTTTTTTGATGATTTAATGTAGAATGGTAGAAATGATGATGGGCACTTACCAAAAATACAAAATCCAAGGTAGCAACAAAAATAAATCCAAAAGAACATCAAACCAGGAGGCACAAGGAGAAAACAGGGAAGCACAGAGGACTGAGGTAAATGAAAATGAGGATCTGATGAGGAATGGAAATGAATGAGAGGCTAAAATACTGGGAGGTAGGGAGCTAGACAAAACCAGGGCTGATGACCTTAATTGACTGCAGGTAAGAGTGGTTAGCACAGAAGCAGGTTGACGGGCAGGGAGAAGATGGCACAGGGAAGCTAAGAAGATCTTCTGGGGAAAACAAAAGGGGGTTAATTGGAAAATGAAGAAAACATAGTGGATATTTACAGATTAAGGAAAGCATTATTTATTTATCTTCAGAATACAAAATTTAAAAAATAGAATTTAATAGATGTAAAGCAGTGTTGCTACACACTTGTGTAGGTGGCGGTATGCACCTTAAAGTTGCTTTCAATCCACCATAATAGAAAAGAAGACGAAGAAGAACAAAAGGGAGGAAACGGGGAGCTGAAAATACTTCTGATACAGACACTAAGAGTAAAGAAAATCTGGTAACACTTTATTTGAAGGGGGTTGAATAAGACTGTCATGACACTGTCATAAACATGACATAACACCTGTCATGAACATCAATAAGTCTTCATGAATAGTTATGACTGTGGTCATAAAGCGTCATTCGGTAAATTATGACACTTTTAATACAAAGTTGACATTATTCAAAATGTCTGTTATGACAACTTGACATTAACCAAGAAATCATTACTGATATAAATTTGTTATAAAAGTATTACTGATTGCACTTTAAAAATTAGGTAACTTTATGTTATTAAAGATAAAGTTTAAACAGTAATGATTTCTTGGTAAATGTCAAGTTGTCATAACAAAGACATTTTGAATAATGTCAACTTTGTATTAAAAGTGTCATAATTTACCAAATGACGCTTTATGACAACAGTCATAAATATTCATGAAGGCTTATTCATGTTCATGACAGGTGTTATGTCATGTTTATGACAGTGTCATGACAGTCTTATTCAACCCCCTTCAAATAAAGTGTTACCAAAAATCTGATGAACTAGGAGAGAAAGACATGAGGGAAACCATAACAGAACCTAGATAGAAACAAGGCTGATCTAACAATAAGAACTAAGGAACATAGAAGATCTGAGAAACTAGAAGATCTGTACAAAGAAATAACCTAACTAGAATTACTAAAGAAAGACTAACTAAACCTAAACGTACAAAATAAGAACTAGAAACACTACGGGGGGAGGAGAGAACTAGAAGAATTTAATAAGTTAACTGGAACTGCTAAAGAAAGGTATACCTAAATTCCATGTGTTCATCTTTAATCCCTATCCTGACTAGCAGACCCAACTCCAGAGGAATTTGGCTGGGAGGGGCTATGGCTTATCTTGGAAAGGATTGGGAGAGGGTGGGTGGACAGTTATCAGGTGTTTTATTTAATACTACATGTTTATATAAAATTAATTACTCATGTTGTTTACTAATACAATATTAACAAAAATGATGTATCATTGCATAAGTCACCACAAAATGCTGAGTAGTTATGCTGAGATTTGCATAAACTTTAGCCCATACATTGCAGAAACTATCAATCTCTGAACTCTTTAAGTGCAAAATCAGACAATGATGTCTGAAAAATAAGATAATAAAATAATCCTTTATTTTTCCCAAGTGAGAAATGTAAGTTGTCAGGGCATAAAGTGGACAAGAACAAGAGAAACAGAAATAGAAAAACAACAAAATAAAAAACATTAGTGTAGGAGACATCATACAAGCTAAACTAGAAATATCAATTTATATATAAAAATACAGATGTATATATGTAAATATATATATACACACGCATGTTTGCGTGGTTATCTTTGTGGTGACTTTCCACTGACTTCCCTTCATTCCTACAGTGTAAACCTTGCCCTTAGCCCAGAGGTGGGCAACTCCAGGCCTTCATGGCCGGTCTCCTGCAACTTTTAGGTGTGTCTCTACTTCAACACACCTGAGTCAAATAATGAGGTCGTTAGCAGGACTCTGGAGAACCTGACTGCACTTGGGAGGTGATTCAGCTGTTGGATTAAAGTGTGTTGGACCAGGGAGACATCTAAGAGTTGCAGGACAACGGCCCTCGAGGACCAGGATTGCCCACCCCTGCCTTAGCCTAACCCTAGTCCTAAATCTAACCCCTGACCCAAATACAACGTTTCCTCTTGTGGGCTTTCAGTCCCACAAGAAGCAGTGGATTCCCACAATGTTGTATGTGTCAGAAAAATTGTCCCCACAAGGTGTTACAAACAAACACACATTTACATTTACAAAACATATACATGCACATGCACTCATACATGGTAGCTATACAGACAAAAAATATTTTGGAGTATGAATGAGAGTGATTCTGAAATATTTTGAAAACATTGTCCTGATAAACAGGTATCTTTTTCTCAGCAAGTTATTATCCCTCCTTACCTGAGAAGACTCTGCTGCTTGCCTGTGGTCATCAGTAATCTCCCCAACTTTGCTCTTTCTATTTTGACATTCAAGATTTATTTTAAATATGTGAACAGAGTAATGCATTTCCAGTGACAACATGTAGTGTTTACTGTGACTTATTAATCTTCAAATGGCCCAACAGGCTCAGCAGATAGAAAACAACATTAGAGCACAGCTGGTGTAAAACCAGATATCTGTAGCCCATACATTTTGGGTTAAAATATGCTTTTTCTTTCTGACTTGAAGTTTTTTGTATTGGATAGATTATCCAGAAAATATTCTCAAGAAAATATTCTTATATTACATTATATAACAGAGGCATACCAACAAGTTTGACTATGGGTGTAACACAACTCAACACAAGTAATGTGTGTGTATTGTCTTTCAGGCCAAGGGTCATGGGAAGTGGCCAGTGAAATGGTATGCTCCTGAATGTATAAACTACTTCAAATTTTCATCCAAAAGTGATGTCTGGAGCTTTGGTGTACTCATGTGGGAAGCATTTTCCTTTGGCCAAAAACCATACAAGGTAACTAACTAGAGTCGGGACATTATAACATCAACTCACTTACTCATATCCTGATTGTTGACAGTAATTTAGAGATGCAATGCTATAATCCTCAGAACATTTTCCTAGGGGTTACCAGGTTGAGATGTTTGGACACTCTCAGGTTCTTAACCTTTTTTGAGGTACCGAACCCACCACTTTCATATGACTTTCACTGAACCCTTCTTTAGTGATAAATAAAATATGATTTTTTTTCCAAATTCAAGTCATAGGCATATGTTTTTTACTGGTGCACAATATGAGCCAAGCATGATTGCTCAAAGAAAAAAACCAACACAGTGCATGAACTCACAACAAATTACGGTATTACTTTATTCTGGTCCCCAAAAAATATTTTGGCCCATAAAAGAATTTCACCCCCAAAAAATATGTATTTTTTTTTTTACTATTTTACTAATTAAAAATAAATTTTGATTTTTTTGTGTGAAGAATTTAACATTTTTTAATAACTTAGTTTTTTTTTGTTTTTTATTTGTTTTTGTTGTTTTGAATCCACAACATAATTTTTTGGGGCCAGAATAAAGCATTGCCCAAATTACATACCTGGAAATCAGTGTGACTTCTGTTGTTTTTGGGAGACCAGTTCAGATATGAATGGCTTCACCTTGGCAAGTGCTACTCTCATGTCATCTTCACAGCAAAGTCTGTTCCTTTTCTTCTTCTTTTGCTCGACATATTTAGTATGGATTAAAATATTAAGAAAGAAATCACATGACGTACAACTATGACAGCCATTGACTGCTGCATGCACTAAATTCCCCGCAGCATTGATTGGCCAAGCAATGTAATGTGATCCTCTGCAGCAAGTGATGACCAAGTGGGGCGCGTCATCACAACTTTACACAAATGTGTCTTTACCTCCGTGGCAGAGGCTCCGCCGAACCCCTGAGACCGACTCATCGAACCCCGAGGGTTCGATAGAACCCAGGTTAAGAACCACTGATCTAGGGGAAAGGGGGACAACAGCTGATCAGTGTCAGATCAACTTCAGAACACAACATCCATATTTTGCAAACAATCAAGTGAAGACAGAAAACATGGTCTTGGTGCAAATAAAACATAAACGTATATTTATAAATAAATGATGTCTAAAAATATAGATATATGCTCTTTTCTTCATAGAAACAGCCAATTTCTTGGCAGGGGTGACTGCTCCACAATCCTACCATGTGCAGGGCATTGTTTGAGCAATCCACTGGTCAAAGTCAATATAATAATTTGTCTGTTCTCTTATCTGTTGTTGAGGTTGCCATTTAGAAAATGCAATGTTAATAAGCAAAACTGCAGAAGGAGTATATGTTTTATGTTTTTATTTTTATCACTGTTTAAAACCATTTCAACTCGTATATGGTCGTCTTTATTTTGAATCATCTTCCACAGGGAATGAAGGGAAATGATGTTATGCAGATGCTTGAGAGTGGAAAACGCATGGAGCCACCAGCAAACTGCCCAACAGAAATGTATGACCTCATGACAACCTGTTGGACATACAAGTAAGTCCCATATCGCAATACATTCCTGGCAGCAAGATCTGTATAAGTATGCGTCTTATAACTGAATTAGAATTACCCATATAACTGTGATTCTTGGAGAAAGTATATATTAATTATCCACCAGTTTTCTTCAATTTCTGCTATTGTCTTTCCTTACAGGGTGGAAGAAAGACCTGGATTTGCTGTTGTTGAGCCAAGACTACGAGAATATTACTACGACATTGCACAGTGATGTGGCAGAATATATCATTGTCAATGCCAACATGTCAATGACATATCTTCTGTGTTATTTGTATGACATTACTTGGCCAGGAGTGGGCAACTCCAGGCGTTAAGGTCTGGTGTCCTGCAACCTTTAGATGTGTCTCTACTTCAACACAACTGAGTCAAATAATGAGATCATTGGCTGGACTCTAGTGCAGCCACCTCCTAGTGTAGTAACTTCTGTTTCATTGAAGTGTGTTGGACCAGGAAGACATCAAAGAGTTGCAGGACACTGACCCTTGAGGACCAGGATTGCCCACCCCTGAACTAGGCTATAAAAAGTTTTGAAAAAGATGATTTGTCATGTATAAGCCATGTGAAGTAGAGCAAAGATACTGTCATCTTAGTGTATTTAAAGCCAGAAATGTATTTAGTATTTTAGTAAATGTGTGGTTCTAAAAATGTGAGTGGTTGTACATCACAATCAGCTGTCAGTATTATAACTCAAGATTAACATCTTAAATCCTGAAATTGTCTCTGATTCATTCTTGATGACAGAGAAAAGAACTACAGAGGATAAGACCGGGGCAGACTTCAAGGCGTTGCATAAATGTATACTGAACAGGTGAATGTAGCTTTTAAGGTAAAGTTCTTTCTGTGACAAAAGGTCAGAAATTTGGAAATTCTTGCAGCATAACATATTATGCATTCTTGACATATAATTTATAACTTATTTTTTTGTCTGATGTTGCCAGTCTTCACTGTTGTGGACAGCTTCTTAAGACTTTAAATTGTCTGTGCTTCCTTATGAAAAATCTTGGAATGTAAATGAAAATATAATACAGTTTAAGTTTTATATTTATTACATGTCTTAAAGACAGTGTGGGATTGTTTTAGTATGACAGTGAAAATTTGCTTTATTTTACGTTGGGCTTATTAAGGTTTCTATTTCCATACTAATTCAATTACTGATAGTTAAACTGGAGAAAGGAGTGTGGTGGAAAACTACTATAAGTTAACATCTGCTGATCATGTTATATGAAATGCTTGTGAACTCTCACCAAAAGAACTATTTGGGTTACATGTACAAGGTTGGAAGCTGTTTCCCACAGCTGCATGAGAACCAAACTGTCTCACCCAATTCTTTTGAATTTCTTATCCGTGGTATAAAACTCATGTGTTGTCTCTGCCTGGCAGAGCTTTCCATCCAGACCTGCTTCATGATTGTTTGTCCTACGAACTCTCTGAGGTGTGCACAATTCATAAATAAACCTGATTGAGTGATTTTATCTGAACAGTGCTTGGTAATAATTTTTTTCCACAACAGGAGAAAAAATATTCAATTAAAAATTGTGAAAATATTCTAAGATGTCCAGAGGACGTAGAGGATCAATTTGAATTGTGTCCAATTTTCCTATATATAAAATACGCATAATTCTGTATTTCTGCAAAGCAGTCCGGTTGGACCCACCAAGTGAACTACTCAACAGAAATGTATGACCTCGTGACAACCTGCTGGACATATTGTTTTTCATTAAAATATGTTAATTACCATATTTTCTAATTCTAAGTATTTTTAAAAATGTATGATTCATTAAAACATTATCACAAGATTTCCAGATGGTCAGATCTAGAGATGTTGAATAGCTTTAATGATTTATTATGTCCATAAATTCAATAGCAAAATTTACCCTTGATTTTATTGCATAATGACACAAATTAACAAATGAATGAGAAACCTACAATTCATCAGTAAAGTACCAAAATATTCTCAGATGGTCATGTCTACACATATAAGTATATTTTTTCACACAATGTCCCTAGAGGAAAAGCTTTGTTATCAGAAAACAGAAAATAACAGAATATACTTTATTGTCCCCTTCAGGAAATTTTCATGGACTAAAGGGTCCATGAAAATTGTTGCATACTAGCAGCTTCCCAAAAATAAACAACTAGAAATGTAGAACACCAAAACTAATACACATTTTCCAGGCCTCAACATACAATCTATTTAAAATTTTGATTCAAAATTTTGATGGAGGTGGTTACAAAAGAGCATTTAAAATAGTTCAATTTAGTAAATAAAAAAAAAAATATTAACTACCATTTTTAGCATAACGACAAAAATTATGAAATTATTATACTGGATAGAGCTAAATAAATAAATTCATATAAAATCCATATATTTCACCAAGAAATTACCAAAATATCCTCACATTGCCAGGTCTACAACTGCAAAAATATGGATTTATCGGCGTGTCCCTAATACTAATACTTTTCCAAATGAATAAACTCTTATAAATATTATAAGCAATAGTAAAATTATTAAAATATTCTGATGATAAAGTATACATGTGGAATCATGTATTTTTATGTCACACTTAGCCAAGTAAAAAAAATGCCATAATTTATCAAAAAATACCAAAATATTCTCAAACTGCCTTGCCTACATGTGGTATTTGAATCAAGGACTTTAATCTTGATGTCCTTGATTCAAATGCTTTTTTAATTAAAACTTGTTGAAATCAACCCTGATACCCAGCTAAAACAAACAAAAAAATTATAAAAATTCAAACCTTATCATAGAATTACCCAAATATTCTCACATGACCATGTCTGTATGTGGAATAATATATATGCTTTATGAAATCTCTACACTCAGTAGATTCTGTACAAAAGTTAACATTCAGAGAATGGTTGCAAAACTGACATATACTCAGAAATTTGTTAAAAATCCACAATGCCTAAAAAAATCTCAAAATATTCTTAGGTGACTCTTATTTTGTCCAACTACTTCCAAAAATGCTCAATCATAGTCTAAAACAGGGGTGTCAAACTCAATTTCTGTATTCTGTAGAAGATGTAGCACACA